GTTTGTGCCGAAGCCTGACCTGAATCCTGCCTGTTCGCATGATTGATAAAAGTCCATTTTGTTCGAAAGTCTGTTTGTTATGACTTTTGTAAAAAGCTTGTATATGTGTGAGATGAGGCTGATTGGTCTATAGTTTACGAGATTTGTTAAATCTCCTTTCTTAAACATTAGAATGATCACTGCATTTTGCCATTGTGATGGTGTTGTTCCTCTTTCAAGGCATTCTGTGAAAAGTATGGAAAGCATTTGTATCAGTTTCTCGCCTCCTAATTTTATGGCTTCGGCAACGACCCCGTCGTCGCCAGGTGACTTGTTATTTTTCATTTGTAGGAGAGCTTTTTTGATTTCATCAACAGTAACATCTGGTATGTCTTCCGAGCCCTGGTTTAGAACCTTTGGTATGTTGTCAGTTGGAACATTTTCTTCTGTTTTGCTGTAGAGTTCGCTGTAAAATTGTCCGACAGTTTGTAGAATTTCCTGTTTATCTGTTATTATTTCGCCCTTTGTGTTTTTCAGTTTGTAAATATTTTTCTTTCCTATTTGCTGTTTCCTTCTGAAGACTTTTAAACTTTTGTTCTCTTCTATGACTTTTGATATCTCTCTGGTGTTGTAGTCTCTTATATCTTTTCTGATGTTCTTAGTGATTTGTTTGTTTAGTTGTCTCATTTTTGTTAGATTGGTTCTGTATTTATCTGTTAGTTGTCTTCTTTCCTCTAATAGAGTTTTCGTGCTTAGACTTAGTTTTTCTTCGTCTTTTTGGTTTTTTGGGCAACATTTTTCTTGTGCTTGTTTCAGAGCTTTGACTATTTTCTGATTTAGTTGTTCGATGTTTATGTTTTCTGTTTCTTCGTTTTGTAATTTTTCTTCGACCATACGTTCAAACAGTTTTGCATTTTCAGGTGGTACCCATCTTCTAACATTTGGTTTAGGAACAAGCTTCATTCTTTCTTTTTTAACGTTAAGCATTACTTTTGTTCTTATCATTCTATGGTCGCTGCCAGCAGAGAACTTGTTGAGTACTTCCACGTCTTGTATTATATATTTTTTATCTGTAATTATAAAGTCGATTTCGTTTTTGACGGCGCCATCAGGGCTTATCCAAGTCCATTTGTTTTGGGGTTTCTTTTTAAAGAAAGAGTTCATTTGAAACATGCATTGATGATGTAGAAAGTTTAAAAGCATGTCCCCTCTTGCGTTTCTTGCCCCGTATCCGTACTTTCCTAACGCGATCTCCGCTTGGTCTTGTTTGAATCCGAGTTTTGCGTTGAAGTCGCCCATGAGAACAGTATAGTGTGTTCGTGTTCTTTGTTGTGCCTCTGCTACATCCTCATAGAATTTTTCAACTTCTTCATCTGTGTGTCCAGTTGTCGGGGCGTAGACCTGTATAACTTTTAAACTATAACGAGAGTTTAGTTTTAATATCAATAGGATGACTCTCGTGCTTATGGTCTCGATTTTTGTTATGTTGGGTATGTGTTTTTTATGTACAATGATCCCGATTCCACCGCTGGATGAATGTTCCTCTCCTCTGTAGTGGAACAGGTGTCCTGATTTCAATGTTTGTTGTTCTTCTCCTCTCCTTCTAATTTCACTAAGTCCCATTACATCCCATTTTATTGTTTTTAATTCGTTTTCCAGTTCTATTAGTTTATGATCGGTTGAGAGGGTTCTTATATTATAGGATGCAAGATGCAGTATTCTTGTGCAGTTTAGCCGTCTTGAGTGGTAGCCTGCTCCATCCCGGGTATTCTTAGCACCCTCTGCTCTTAATCTTTTCTGTCCGCTACCTTGGTCAGAGATTTTTGAGCTGCCGGGGACTGAGGGCCGTGTTTGGTTTGTGTTTTGCATGTTTACGGGGGGTTTGGCCTTAAAACGCCACGCTGGCCAGACGTGTTGGCGAGTTGGGGGAGGATATAGGGAAGGAATTTGGGGTTTGGGTAGGATAATATTGGGGTTTGGGCCTGGTTTCCCCTAAGTAGGGAGTAGAGGAAAACCAGGAGCTCACGTGGGCAGGGGCGCTACCTCCCTGAAGTAAGTCTACCCTCTATCGGGATCATAGAGGGGTACCTACCCGCTACACACGTTGGCACACGATAAGCAGTTGGACGTCTCTAATTTTATTTTACTGATGACCATAAATTAGGTTTTTGATATGTTTAGTTGTAGTCCAAATCTTTCACTTACTTCATTTACTTTGTTTATTAGTTGCTGTAAACTGTTTAAACTGTTTGCAAAAATACCGGTATCATCTACATTACGGATTTTGTTTAGACGTTCTCCATTTAAAAGGATTTAATTTTCGGTATGTTGCAAGGCTTCACTAAATATTTCCTCTGAATATAGGTTAAATAATATAGGTGAAAGTATACATCCTTGTCTAATACCTCGCAAAATCTGGATCGCTTCCGTCAGTCCATCTCCAAGATTTGTTCTTATTGTGACTGGTTGGTTCCAGTATAAATTTTGTATTATTCGCCGGTCTTGATAATCTATTTGGACTTTTGTTAGAACATCCATCGTTTTTCGGTGTTGAACTATGTCAAATGCTTTTTGGTAGTCCACAAAGCAGGTGTAGATATCGCAAGTCCTCTGCGTCTTTGGAATAATACCTGTAGAATAAACAGTGCATATCTCGTACCTATGCCTTTCATGAATGCAAACTGTGTGTCTTGTATTCTTTCTTCGCATAGCTTTTATATTCTGCGATGTATAATTTTAAGAAAAAGTTTTGGTGTATGGCTCATTAGAATTTTCCGCACTTTTTCACTACCCGTTTTTTTGGTAACGTAATAAATTCTAAAACTAGCCAATCTTTTGGACAATTGCCTATGTCATATATTATTATTGAAAATTTTACACAGTATTCTTAAAGGATCATCATCAATCAGTTTAAGAAATTCAGACTGTACTCCATCTGGTCCTGGAGCTCTCCCTTCTTTTAGTGATATTATGGCTGCTTTTATTTCTGCCACTATAGGTGGTCCTGTTTTCGTAGGTATCGGGGACTCCCTCTCCCTCTTCTTCTCCCTCTCATCAAAAAATTAATTTCGTATGTAATTTTTTCAGGTATTATCAATACTCTCTTTGTCCACGATTACCTCTCCGTTGTCATTAACAAGTTTACTTTGTCTTCTGTTTTTACCTTTGCCTGTAATGTCTTTTGTCTTTTCTTGCACGTTGAAGTAGTCGTAATTACTTTGTAGAATTTCGTTTGCTTGATATTTTTTCTCCAGTTCTTTCTATTTGGCTTCTCTGATCTTTCTCGTTGTAATGTTTTATACATACAGTTATTGTTCATGGTTTTTTTTCTTTCTTCCATCAGCTGCAGAATATATGTCGTCATTTATGTCTTATTCTTACCTTCTTCGTTCTTTATAAAATTGTCTTTATTGTCGTTTATCGTTTTATTAAGGAATTTATCTTCTTTTCTGTGCTTTTCGTTGTATTATCGATTTCTTTGAATTTTTTTTTCTTCGATTTCTTTTACATTTCAGTTTTCTTATGTAATGTTTTTTTAAGAATTTTTCCGCGTGTTTTCTTTACCTTGGTTGAATACATGCCCACTAAAGGATTGTGGTTAGATTAAATATCAGCGTCTGGGTAGGTTTTAACACTGTTGAAACTCTTTTGATATCTTTTGTTTACAAGTATACAGTCCATTTAGTTTCTTATAATAACGTCTTCTCCGTTATATCTAGGTGATTTCCACGTATACAGGCGTCTAGATGGTAGTTTATAAAATGTGTTTAGTCTCTCTCCTAATCCATAAGGACCAATACGTTGCTCTTCTTTTCCGTTACCTATTTTAGCATTGAAATCCCCCATGACTATAAGGAGTTCATGTCTCGGTATATCTCTTATAAGGTTGTATTTGTTTGCACATCCCAACAGTCTGTCAAGTAAGTCCACCGGACGTAGCTTAAGGTCCAATTAACATCCCTGGAAGTCTAACGAATTTCCTCTTACGACGTTAAATGGACGTTTGGCATAGCGACATTTGGACCATTAAAGGACGTTAAAAGTACGTCCTTGTGACCAAAGCAGACGTTCGAATGACGTCCCTAAAGTTCGTGAAGGATGTACACTTCATCTAATTTATATAACGATGCACGTCATCGGCGTCATAGCCTGTGACGTCATATGATACCAACACGAAATATTTAGGGTTTAGGTGTGTTCTTTTTAGAATCACTTTATCGAGTACACTGGCATTACAGCCACTAGACATATTTTAAATATATACGCGTAGAAATAATATGTAAAAATTTCTATTAATGTTAACTTAAAGAAATACACAATAATATGTTTCATTTAATTTGTATAAATCCATTATAAAGAGTTTTTATCAAGAACATTTGTTCGGAACACACTGTAACTGTAATCGAACGAAGGTAAAATTTTGGCATAAATTGGTAACACTTATTTGACAGTTGCGGTGTTGACACTTTTTGTACTTTATTATTTTTAATTTTAAAGTGAATACCTCTTGTTTTATATTTTTACCTATTTGATAAAATCTGTTCTTTTTAGAACAAAATTAGTGTGTTTTATTTCAAAAATGTCACGTAAGAATTTAAATAGTCGTTGTAAAGAGATGGTAATACTTTTGCAATAATTATGTGACCTATTTGATTTAAAATGGAGTCAGGATTTTTTTATACTTTGGCAACTATGTCAACTTCGATCTCTGACGGAGATAATGACGTAAGTCGTTATCTAAATTAGATGAAGTATACTATGGAAGTTCGTGTGTTATTAGGGTATAATAACAATTCTATTCTAGTGTTTAATAATATCATTTCCTAATATCAAGTTTTGGCATTGAGCTAAGTAAAATCAAACACATGTAAAAACGAATTTAAATTAATTTCTAAAATCTCTATGCCATATGCCACGATCTAATTATTTCTATTATTTTCCACTGCACACTGCAGTTGCCCTGAGCTGAAACCCTAGAGGCAGGAGGCCCCTGGTGGAGAAGTAGAACAAACACTGTCAAATGTGTCAATTATAACCTTATTTTTTATTTATTTAAATCCAGATTCAAATCAAGTTTTTATTATTAAAATAACGTAAATGGAAGAAATATGTAGATCATGTTTAAAGCAAACACCAAAAAAATATACTCTAACCGGGAAATTAATAAACTTGGAAGTGACTATAGCAGACATGTTAGAATATTGTACATCAAATAAGGTAAAGTTAAATACAAATAAATTATTGATCTTTATACCTAAAATGTAACTTGTTTTTAGCTTGATCTAAGTAATGAATTGCCGAGACACATTTGTACGTTTTGCTTCACGACTATCCGAATGGCATATGAATTCTTTAAACAATTTAGCGACAGTCAAAATAAATTGTATTTGTTGAAATCTAATAAAAAGGCATCCAATCAAGTTAAAAAATTAATGAATTTTCATGGTTATGCAGAAATAAACACATGTGACCAGTTAGTTAATGTAGATGAAACAGAAAATCAAAGCCAAAAGTATGCAAATATGGATAATCAAAGTGAATTTGAAAAGGGAAGTGAATATGAAACTGTAGTGGAAAAAGTAAATATAAATGAGATAGAAGTTGATACTGTAGGTGAAATACAAAATAGGAAAGAAAATGTAAGTTTACAAACATATATTTGTGATAGTGATTTTATTGACATAGAAAATAATTCAAACAATAAAATAGGGACTACAGAAGAGACATTTATAGATGAAGAAGCTCAGACTGTGGATAGAGAGTATGAAGTAGAACAAGAAGACTGTGTAGACATTTTGGAAACTGATATTGAAAATAGTGATTTATATGAAGAATGTGAATTAAATCCAAGTTTAGAGGCTCAATCATCAGATGTAGAATTCTCTGTTATAATAAAAAACCATGAAAATAAAAACGAAAAGTTATATCCATTTATTTGTCCGATTTGTACTTTAAAGTTTTCACGTGTTGATATGTTCATAAAACATGTTTTACATCATAAACAGAAAATAATAATTTGTTCTCGTTGTGAAGCTAAACCAGAATATGAACTGGAAGAATATATTGAACATTATAAAGAGTTTCATAAATTACAGTGTGAAATATGCAACAAAAAAATGACCTCATATTTTGGATATTCTTACCACATGAAACAACATATTAATAATAGTTGTTACAAATGCCCTATTAAAGACTGTCAAAGATCTTTTGTTTTGAGGGCTCTTCTAAGAAAACATGTTAAAAATCATTATGAGCCTCAAGTTTTTAAATGTGATCTATGCCCATCTAAATTTAATAACAGAGATACATTGAGGTACCATGTTAAAAAGCATTTAAATAAAAAAGATCATCTTTGTACAATATGTGGTAGGACCTTTTATTTAGCCGGGCACCTCACTCATCACATGAACAGTCATCTTGGCAACAAAAGATATGCCTGTGGTATATGTGAAAAGAAATTTATCACCAGCACATGTTTAAAGAGACATGTTGCAATTTGTTCAAAGAAACATAGTTTTGCAGTTACAGATTATGGAATGGAAGAAGTGGTAGAAAATGATTAACTAGTAGGTTTATTGAGTAAGAAATAATTTATTATTAAGAATATTATGTACATTTTAATAAAACTGTTTCTCCTTTTTCCTTTAAGTATATGAGCAATTGTGCTTGTTCATTGGGTTGAGTGGTCCCTCTTTTTTTCTTTCCAATATTCTAATTGTATTTTAAATTGATGTATCCATAAATGTGTGTTGTTTTACTGGCCAACCTGGTCCAAAATTTACAATTTTTTGACAAATTAAAATTGAAATTGTGTAGGTATAAGGTCCTAGAAAATTTAAGTGTAACTAGCTATTTGAATGAATAAATTTGTTGTTGAATCATTTCTTTACTACAAAAAGTCGATGAAAAAAAAAAAAAATGAAATAGTGACAATAAGAACTTATGTACCAATAAGGCTAAGTCGTTCGGAGATTATGATAATTATCCAGAAAGTGTTCTATATATGTTTGATATTTTAATAAATAAAATGGAAGCATGTGCTGAGCAAATCTTCAAATTGACAAAAGATAAAATAGAAATTGTCACAATTACTTAAACCTTGGTTTTCAATTAGATAATTTATTGTCTTTTAATGACCATTTTAATTACTTATGTATTAAAAAAATTTTTAAAAAATTACTTTTTTTTAAGAATACCTAAAAATATATCATCTTCGACTAAAATTTCAGTTTTTAATGCAATTACTTAACCTCACTTCGTTTTGTGTTCATTGGATATTTTTCTCTTCAATTTAAATCAATCGGACCAGTTGCAAAAATTACAAAATCATGGAATGAGAATCATTCTTGGTGAAGGCAGATATACACCTATAGGAGTAATGATGCATAGTGGCTTTTAGTTCAACAAAGGCTCTTTTACCTTACAATGGTGTCCATCTATAATATTTTAAATAATTTGGCTCCTGCTTACTTTTGTGAGTTTATTACATATGGAATTACCCCACTTGAGGTAATTACAATTTACACATTGTGAAAACAAGAAACTCTTTGTTAGAGTAGAAAACTGTAGGAACTATATTTAAAGTGTAATTGTTATTTTTATCTTATTATATATTAATGTTGTCATAAATTGATTATCATTGTGTATTATAGGGCTTTCCCTATTTTTGAATAAATAAACTTCTCTGTGAAAGATTGTCATTTCAACTCTTGCTTGGTCTGCTGATATTTCTACCACTTGGTTTTATTCCTTTCTATTTAAATGACTCTTGTATCTGCCATTCTATTGATGCCATTGTTCCATACTTGCTTTTTTACTTATTGTCCCGTCATTTATACCCTGTACATTTTGTCTAATCTTGTCTCATATTCTGTCTCTCACTTTTTTTCTGTAGTTTCCAAGTTTCTGTTTTTTGGCTATGTCAGATCTTGTTTCTGATGCATACTGCTAATCTCTTTGCTCCTAGTACTTGATTGTTTACTTCTTTTTTATCGTTTCCATAGCTGGATAGTTTAATTGCTAGGTACTTTATTTCCATTACTTGTTCAATCCGAACTGTGTGTGCTCAACTGCACTTTTTAGAACAGCTTAAAAAACAAGTATCAGTCACCATACATTGAGAGGACATATAAAGACTCTAAAATTCAATACAAACTGCAATACAGAATGCAAAAATCATGGCAAATAATATTATCAGGAATTACAGTAATCCAATAAAGTCTATGTGGAAAATCATAAATGACCATCGTGGTGTTAAGAAAAATACTCTCCAACCTCCTAATATCGGTCCAAATATCTTTAATGATTATTTTTCACAGATAGCATCCAACTTGATCAAAGATATCCCAGTTTCAAATCTAAATCAAATAGAAGTAACTGAAATATATTAAATCAATTTTCTTTCTCAGAAGTCACTTTCAATACAGTATGGGATATTATCAATAAAATAAAAACAGCCGTGACAATCTTGGACTGAATGTAAAGTTGATCAAAAAAATAGCATAATAGTTCCACTTACTAAGTTAATTAATATCGGCATCAAAGAACATGTTTTTCCATATGCCCTTAAAAAACAATAATTTACCCAATCTTTAAAAACAGTGAAATCAAACCTGCCAGAAAATTATCGGTCAGTCTCACTACTGTCAATTATTTCGAAAACTATGGAAAAGTGCGGCAGTAAAAATAGAAGATTTCTTTGACGTCAATGGTAATGTTTTCTGAATGTCAATTGGGTTTTCGCAAAAATAAAAATACAGTCTTGGGTATTTTAAACTTTATTTTGTATATTACAGTCATTTTATAAGCTTCAATTTAACTCAGTCCTTTTGCGTGACTTAAGCAAGGCTTTTAATTGGTCAGCTATGAAATCATCCTGTAGAATTAGAAAACTTTTGTTACCAGAGTATTAAGCTCATAAAATCATATTTGAAAGATAGGGTACATATTGTTAGGGTTAGTGGGGTGTTGACGTCAGAGAGTTTGTTAAATATTGTGGTACCCCTAGGGGCGGATACACGTGGGCGAAGAAGGGAATTCATCCCCAAAAAGGTCCAAAATTAAAGAAATGTCTCTTATGTAGTTTGGGTTTATCTTTTTTATGTCTTTTGGGTGGTATTTCATTAGAAGTCCTCTATCCCAATCAAATGTCTAGATCCGCCACTGAGTAGCCCAGGGTTCGATACTGGGCCCCATTTTATATTTGAATTTATAAACGATCTTCCAAACATGCAATATAAGGCTAAATATACACTCTTTGCAGATGATACTATGATGGTGTTTGCAGCTGATAATAATGAAGATGTGCCGAAGGGTTCTATGGTGGCTCAGCAGGTGACTGAGGTTTGCTGCAACTAGGTTGGTTCTGAACAACAATAAAACGAAACAAGTTATTTTCACAATGAGATCTGTGGGTGATATAAATGCTGGAGTCGGCGATATTGGATTTTTAGGAGTTCTTTTGAACCCAAACACAGCGGGACCAACATATTAATAACTTATGCAAAAAACTAAATAAAAGTGTCTTTATTTTGAGAAATCTTTTAAAATACGTCTCACTGGAGACTATATGTACCATGTACCACTCCATAAACTCATCTTTCATACTCTATCCTTGTCTGGGGTCATGCAGCTGACACAGAGTTTTGCATGATTGTATTGAATTGCAGATGGCTTAGTGAATCCTCTTGTTTTATTCTTCTTCTTCTTCTACGGCACTACAGCCCAAAATGAGCCTTGGCCTCCTTTATTTTTTGCCTCCACCCTTGTCTGTCTGTGGCTGCTCTTCTCCATACACGGACTCCTAAAAGTGCTTGTGCGTCGCTGCTTACTGCTTCTTCCCAGCGCTTTCTTGGCTTTCCAACTGGTCTCTTTCCCTGCATTCTGGCGTTCAGTGCTCGTTTTGGTAGCCTATCCTCTCCCATTCGTATCACATGTCCGGCCCATTGCAATCTTTGTATTCTAATGAAGTCTGACAGGGGTGTTTCCTTATACAGTTGATAGAGCTCGTTGTTATATCGAATTCTGAAGATTCCGTTTTCCCTCACAGGTCCTAGTATTCTCCTCAGTACTTTTCTTTCGAACGTGTCGAGTTTGTTTTTGGATGTTTCTTTCAGGACCCATGCTTCGCTGCCATAACATGCTATTGGCCGAATTAAAGTTTTATAGATTCTCATCTTTGTATTTCGGTGGACACTTTTAGACCGAAATATATGGGAGAGGGCAAAATAAGCTTTGTTTGCCTGCGTTATCCTTTTTCGTATTTCTCCATCCTCTGCTCCATCGGCATATATTTCTACTCTCAGGTATGTAAACTTTCCAACCGTTTCAATGTCATCTTCATGTATAATGTTTTGTGGGATTATATTTCTTCTCGTCTGTACCATTATTTTTGTTTTTTCTGTGTTAATTTCCAGACCTAGCCTTTTCGTTTGTGTTTTTAACTCTGCGTATGCTTCCTGTGCTCCTGTTGATGTTCTACTCATAATATTAATATCATCGGCGTAGGCAGCCAGTTGAACCGTTTTATTGGTCAGTAGGTTTTCTCGTCCAGTTTGCATTTGCCTAACCGCATACTCCAGTGCCAGGTTAAACAATGTTGGTGCCAGCCCATCTCCCTGCTTTAGTCCCTGCGAGATTTTGAAAAAGTCTGTCCGGTTGTTTTGTATTCGTACACATGCCTGAGTTTCATCCATTGTGGCTTTAATGAGTCTAATTAGCTTATGTGGTATTGCTAATTCTGCCAATATATAGTATAGTCTGTCCCTTTTGACTGAATCGTATGCCTGTTTGAAGTCTACAAACACGTTGTGAACATCAATGTCGTGTTCCCACGATTTGCTCAAGACCTGCTTGACTGTAAATATTTGATCCATTGTCGATCTTCCCCGTCTGAAGCCCGTCTGATATTCTCCAATAATATTTTCTGCTAGTGGTTGGAGTCGCTGGTTTATAATATACGTGAGGACTTTATACGCTGTACATAGAGAAATTCCACGGTAGTTTTTGCATTGGAGTTTGTCTCCTTTTTTATAGATTGGGCATACTATATTTTTCTTCCATTCGTCGGGTATTTTCTCTTCTTGCCATATTTCTTTGATAAGCGAGTGGATATGACTTGATAGGTGGTTGCCACCTACCTTATACAGTTCTGCTGGAATCTCGTCAACTCCCGGGGCTTTATTGTTTTTCTGGGCCTTAATAGCTTCGAGAACTTCCTCTATGGTTGGAGCTTCTACTTCAACTTCGTTCTCTTCTACATGGTTCGTACCCATTTCATCTTCCATATCTACTTGTGTTCCAAGTAGGGTCTGAAAATAATGCTTCCAGGTTTCTGTGACTTTCTGTTGGTCACTGATTATTTGCCCACTTTCATCTTTGCATAGGCTTGTTTGAGGTTTATATCCACTTTTTATCTTTTTTAGGTATTCGTAAGCTCCTCTAATTTCGTTTTTTTTTTTTTTTTGAAATGTTGTTCCATTTCTTCTATTTGTCCATTTTCATAAGCTCTCTTTTTGTTTCTGCATATCTTGTCTGCTTTCCGTCTTGCGACTTCAAATGACGTTCGTCTTTCCCGTGTTCTTCTTGTTATGTACATTTTGTGCGCTTCGTTTCTTTCTTCTATCGCTTGCCTGCACTCGTCATCAAACCATGTTCCTCTTCTCTTCTTTTTCTTGTTTCCCACGGTGGACGCTGCTGCTGTCATCACTGCTGTTTTGATATTATTCCATTTGC